GAGATGTGCCCAAGGGTATGCCTGTAGCGTCTCCCTAGTACTTATTCTAGAGAAGTTTAGATAGATTTGAACTGGCGAGAATAAGGCAAGTCATCAATTTTGTATGAAGATTGAAGGGTCATCGTCAACTCATTCTCGTCTCATGCTATACGAGTGTACGACCATTTGCGAGATAAGTTATTATATACATGTCTAATGCAGTAAAAGTTTTATTTTTAAAAAAATTTATCCTTAAGCATAATTGTAAGTTTTCATGCTACCATTACTAATTTAAGCAACTGATGAAGTCATTCTTCGGTATTAAGAAAACTTCGAAGTGGGATATTGGTGGTGACTGAATTCTTTTCATACGAAACATATTGTATGAGTCAGCTTTTAATCATTTTCATTGCTTTTAATAAAACAAGATAACGACTTTGCATTAAGATATATAATATAACATTTAATCAAGGTACGAAATTCTCCTGCATTTGAAATGTGTTGTGGAGTTGCCATCAGATAAAGTTCGTTATCTACCGCAAAGAAAGGCACAAAGAAAGGTATGAGGTGACCCAGGACTCAAAGAATGTAGTTTTTATCTAATCAGCTTTGATTTCAAAAGGTCTCAATTGACGAATCATCAAATTCTTGTTTGATTTTTATGAAATTTGATTTCTTGCTTTTCGTTTGTCGGCTGCTAGATGATTCTGATGAATGTTGTTTCCTTGCTTGCTGCTATACGATAGAATTATTTTTATATAAAACTAGTTACAAATAGTTGTTTCTCCAAATCCGCTCGATGGCATGTGAGACATTCGGGGGATACTTCAATAACACTAAAATGTTTTTGGAAAGTATTAGATTTCGATTGTAAGATTAGAACTTAACTATCGTCAAAAAATCAGAGTTTTAGTTATGTGTAACAAATCTTAAGGCAGCATCAAAGTAAAATTTGAGCACCGCGTTTACAAGTAGGTACGTCTTGATGGTCATAGTATTGATCAGTTAAAGAACTCTTATGATAGTCAAATGCTCGTCAAGCAAGCATGCGAGTGCTATAACAATCTCAGGGGGTGTGTTTGACAACTTCAAATTTTCCGAAAACATGTTGGAGTAGTTAAGCCTCGACAAACGGGGCTGAAGAGACTTTTTAGAAAATCCTCAAAATTTAAAAACAATTTTCAAATTAATGCTTTTCCAAGATGCAAGTAATAACACTATAGGAGACGAAATCAAGGGCCAATAAAATTGTTTTTCACGCCAATGATCAAGAAATAAACTCCATCAATTCCCATCCACAAACCCCCCCTACAGCTCTTCTTGGAGTTGTGCGAGTAAACTGTGAAGCTCATGGACCTGCTCGTGCGTTGTCGTTGCTCAATGATGCAACAGTATTGCAGGGAAACGATTTGTTGCTTCTCTCATCTTTAGAAGAAGCCTGGAAGGTTCCCTATTTATTGGATCTAAATATTTAAGTCTATTTTTAAAGAAATTTTCATGGTTTTGATCATTTTCAACTATAAGTACTGTTTTTCTTAAAATCCTTGTCACATTTGGAAATGATACTACACTCTTTTGTGAGCCCCCCCACCCCCCAGCGTCTAGTTAAGAGAATAACGATGTGTCTGGTAAGAGAGCGTAGGAACCACAAATGTAATCGTAACATCATAGATACATTTGGATTGATGTAGTTAGAGGATTGTGTTGTTCCAAAGACATCAATGAGTCTTTGGTTGTAGGTAATTGCAATACCATAACATGTAAAAAAAATGAGGGTTTTGCATCCATGTTCAAATTTTAGAGTTTTACAACTACATATGAGTGCAACAACTTGAGATGTGATGTAATTACACACGCGACCATGTTGTTCATATATCTACAGGGATACCCCTGAAGTTATTGGTTGTAATAAGATGAGTAACCCTCAGAGTTCTTTTTAATCTAGGCTTTAAGGCCGCCTATGTACTTACATAAGTAATCTCAGGATTATTTGTATAGATTCACAAACTCTAGGATATATTACTCGTATAATAACACCATGTATCCGAGTTTTTCCTGTAATCTCATCCTTGGCAAGTAAGGACTCTCCTCTGAAGACAGTGATGGTCCGAGGAGCCTGCCACAAACTTGATCGCTGCTCCTGAGCTCGAATGAGCTGTCGCCGATAGGAGCATGAGCGATACTGGATCTAATCATAACCCTTGTTGAAGGCGAGGTTCTGCTTTGTGATCCAACTCCAACCTTCTTGGCTGTCCAGGAGGTGGAGTTTTATCTGTGGCGGCGATAGGAAGCATGTGCTTCATTTTCAAGCCAGACAAACACCATAGTGGTGTGTCTTCTCCAGTAGGGCTTCCGAGGTTCTGGTATCGGATACATCTTCTGGTGGATGGCTTGCTTGGAAAATACTCCCTAGAAAGTTGTTGAAGCCCTCGAGGGCTGCGTCTATGTTGACTCCTCATAGCCATAGGCTAATCCTCCTTAGCTTGAATGATGCGATTCCAGGTTTTTTTAGCTTGAATGGTGCGATTCCAGTGTTCTTCTTCAAGGATGAAAAAGATCAGGCCCATGCTCAGAATTGGGCATGTCTTCTTGGAGAAGAAAGTGGGCCCCACGGTGGGCGCCAAACTGTCGATGTTTGATATCACATAGCAAATGGGAGCTATCCGTTGATGGATGTAGTTCAGATCTTCATGCTGATGACGAAGAGGGAGAGGATGAGAGATGGAGTCGACTCCTCCTCCAACTTTATGCCCGATTCTTGGACTGTAATTCCTGATTCTTCTGCATGAACAAGAAGAACAAACCCGTAAGAGGATGATGCTTGTTTCCCTCGTGATACCTCCAACGGTCAAGTCAGCTGGTGAGCTTGAGTGAGGTTTGAGGGAGAGTCCCGGGACCATTGAGGTCCTTGTAAGGGGATACTCTTTTAGAGTTATTAGTAAAAAGAAAATAGATCAAGAGGGAGAAATGATCCCCAAAGTTTAATAAAAGTTAAGCCTCTTAATAGAGTCAAGATTAAAAAAGAGGAGAGCCCCTTTCTTTACCCTCCTTCCTCCCTTTTATAGCCCTTCGCCCCTGAGATTCTAACCCTTGGCTTTGACTATGCACATGATGACGGTGGTGGGGTGAGCAGACAGGCTGCTGAGTCATCCTCCACTTTACAGATGTCGGCTGGCGATTGGAGGATAAGTCATTCGAGCACAGGAGAGGATGCCTCCAACATATCACGGATTTGACAGATGAGGTATGACGGAAGATAGGCTAGCTGCTTAGTTATTCTTTGCTTTACAGATGTCGGCTGGCGACTAGAAGAGAAGTCATTCGAGCACAGAAGATGATATCTTAGTGATATCTGGGAAGTGACTTGTGAGCAGAGTAAGCTGTTTATGCCTGAGATTTGTTAGAGTTGAGATCTCGATGGGATCGATCAATACTGTAGTGTCGATTGATGTACATATGAAGGGAGTTGAGTTGGATTTTATCCCCTCAGTAGAGACGGGTTGGTTTTCGAGTCATCCCTATGATTTGCCGACCAGATAGTCGAGTGAGCTTCTGGCCGAGGAGACAGCCGAGTAGATAGTCAAGCCGATTATTTGAGGAGTCGTCTCGATTTATGAGGGGTCGACTAATGCTGCACTTCGCGTCGGTAAAGATGACTCGTTTGCTCGGCAGGTCAATAGACTTGTTCTCAGCTGGGTTTTGGGCCGCTAAGCTGGTTTGGGCCATAGCTCTTTTGGGCCTATGAAGACATAGTTTCTCGATATTTTTCTCTTTAGATGGTGAATTACCATAACAGATATGGTCATTAATGTATACTTATATATACTTACATATATATATTTATTTTTAATGTATGCTATATATAATTATAGTATGATATGGTCATTAATGTAGACTTATATATACTTACATACAACATATAGCTATATACTAATATGTATGTATATACTAATACATACTTATATAAATATAATAAGATTAATCTAATTTTTTATTATTTTTTCGCAAAAGAATAAAAAAATACAAAAAAATCCGGGCCGGCCCGGAACCCAGCTCAATTTGGCCTAGGTCATGACCTGGACACATCCCGGCACCCCCGGGTCCGGATCCGGGCTAGGCATTTTGCCCTGCTCGGACCCGAAAATCTGGGCCGGCCTGGCCTATTTGGACAATCCTAGCTAAATTCTAAGTAATTTGAATGTATTTGGTAAGAATCAACAAGTTTTAGAGTACTTATATTTTGTAACTTCATTTTTTTTTGAGAGAAAAGGATGGATTATCACAAAGATAATCCAGCCAGCTAAATTAACAAAAAAAGGTTGTTACAAAAGAAGCATACACACCCCCAACCAAGAGTGTGTACTAACGTTCATGATCAAGGTTACACAGCAAAAGTAAACCCCAACACAAGTCTATATATAGTTATAGGTCTCTCCCACAAAAAGAAGACCATTATCAAAAACCAAAAACTAGAAGATTCACAACTAACCAAAGTTTTAAAACACCACCACCAGATAAGCTCAAAACAACACCTGAATTGAATGTGCATCATTCTAGCTGGTATTTTGTAACTTCATTACCAAACAAACGCATATGTTTATCACTAACCTATAACAAAAGCATAGGCAAATGAAGAAAAATGAGCAAATAAAAAAGGATTGAGCAATAAACTACTTATTTATACATACTCAAGGGAGACCATAAAAATTCCCTCATAGTATCTTCTAACAAACAAAATCAAGGAAAAAGGAAAAAGAAATGAAAAAAAAAAAGGTTCACAGAAGCCCTAGACTCTGTGACAGCCTCAAAGACAAGAAACACAAATAAATAGCCAACAACCCAACTCCTAAAACCCTATCCAACTTCATCTCTTTCCTCGGCAAAACAACAAGAGCCCACAAAAGCCCACCAATCATGAAACCCACGATCTCAAACATCGCCGGGCTTACAGGAATCACAAACGGGTCCGGGTGCACAGCCCAAGACGAAACCACAAGCGAAAGCCCAAGCCCAGCTAAGGTATTAAATATCGGGCCAGCGTAACACCCACTTATAGCAATCTGGGCTCCATTTCGGCCCCCATTCGTCGCCATCGCTACGTTGGCGATCATATCCCCGACGGAATTCCCCCACGCGAGAATCGTCAACCCCAAAATCGCAGGATTGATGCCAAAAATGTAGCCCAGCGAAACTAGCAAGCCCACTAATTCTTCAGCAATGATGTAAGTCCAAAGCACGCTCATTAGAAACCCACCAGAGAGCCAAGGGAACAAGAAATTTTTAGGTGGGCTAGATTTAATCGTCGTGTTAATTGCGATTAAGCCCAGCACCAACCCGAGCAACGCAGCGTATAGATAAATCGTTAACCCTTCTTTCGTGCTCACTCCTCCTCTTTTCGAATTCCAGAGCGTTGCGAGGAAAATCGGCGATAATGTCGCGGCGGCGACGGCGTACGACCTCGACCAGCGGCCTTCCGAGACGTCGGGGATCGTTAGCCGACGTGGCAAGTACAACGGCAGATCAATGACGTACAGGCACCAGTTGATGTAGTAGAATAAACACGCTTTTACTCTGGTGACGCCTGATGCTCCCGGCTCTGGCTCGGGCTCTGGATCCGGCTCGGGCTCTGGTGACGACGAAGATTCTTTGTCGACGGACACGGGATCGTTGAGCTCCTCGTCGTCGATCAAAATCGGAGCGACGAGCTCTTCTTCGTGCTTTTCCCGACAGAAATGCGTGGCGGAGACGATGGACACGTACACGAAGTACAGCGAAGTGAAGCACAGGGCGCCGTAGACGTTGACCCTGCCCGACGACGAGGATCGCCCAGAAGGCGAAGACAGGACGACGATGAAGAAGCAGGACGTTCGCGCACGAAGCTCGCACCGGGTCGACGCGGACGGTGGGAGGAGAAGAGTTGGCCGACGAAGACAGGCAGACGGCCGACGTTGATTTACGCCACGACGACGCAGGGAGACGAAGAAGGCGCCTCGAGGACGCTGCTGAGGCCGACCTCCGCCGGCGCCGGAGCGGAACGAGACGATCGCCAGGCGACAAGACGTCGCGGGAGCCGTTGCGAGGGAGAGGAGGCGTGACGCCGGCCCGATATGTGGGCGGGGTGAGAGGCTTGAGGAGGCGGGAGAGGTTTTCGATGGAGGAGCAGAAGTAGCGGGAGACGGTGTCGGCGAGGAGGTAGAAGAGGGCGAGGAGGGAGAGGAGGAAGAGGGAGTAGGAGAGGGAGGGGAGGTGAGGGAGGGTGCAGTAGAAGAGGTGGAGGTAGTTGATGTAGCCTTGGGAGATGCAAGGGGAGTGGGATTTGAGGTAGAGGCATTTGGATTTTGGGTCGGGTAGGGTTTGGAGCGGGGAGCAAGATGATAAGGGCCGGGAGGGGATCAGATGGGCTTTCATCGGGCTTTGAAGCGGGGTGGTCGGGGTGCGGATTTGGGAGGTGAAGAAGAAGCAGACGAGGAGGAGGAGGGCCGTGTTGACGAAGGACTTGAGGTTCTTCGACAGCGAAAGAGCCATCGCTTCTTGGTTCTAATTATCTTTAAGGCGCTAACGCTTACATGAGAGTGTTTGATACGAAGAGGGAGGGAGAGATGGGAGGGAGGGAGGTATAGTTTGTGGGATAACGGGGGGCTTAGGATGCTTGTAGGTGTTTGTGCGGGGGTTATTGGTTGTAGGATTTGGGTACAACAAGGGTTTGCGTGGAAAAGAATATATAAGTTTATTGTGTGGTTGCGTTACGTAGAGTACACAGAACATCTCTCATACACGGAGGAGGGAATCCCTATTTTGATGGTGTATTTATGCGTTAACAATTGGTTGTTATTTACATGGATACGATTTGCAAAAGAGTGCTGCTACGGGGACCCAAAATATGTGACAAAGGGAGGGGACATGTGAGGTGTCCCCTCCCTATTGCATAATGAGTTGGTCATGTACGGCCTTTTATTCTACACATTCATAATTTCCATCCATCGTTTCAGTGGTTGAAAAAAATATCAAGTATACCTAGTTTGTACACACGGCAACATAAGGCACAGTCCAGAACACAAATGAGCAGGCCCTGTTAAAATGGCCCACTTAGAGCTTCCTATATTTGCTAATGAAAATTAACCTGCGGGCTCTGTTGCTGCATATCTTACATTAGCAAATGCTGGGGCTGAGACTTGCTAAGTCTGGGCTTTGGTTTGAAGTGAATTGGGCTTTTCTGTTGAGCCCAACTACTAACAAATTCTTAATGGTAATTTACCAACTTAGCTGCACGAGACAGAGCGCGATACGACCAAAGCGTCAGTCTTCCGCTTTTATTTCATTCTCTCCTCGGTCTCTCTGAAAGAGGAAAAAACCTCAGAAGATACAAACAAAGAGAAAATTTCCCATAAATTTCAATGGAGATCTCGATCAATTCTTCTATAATTTCCTCTTCATCATCATGCAATCCTCGTAAAATTCCACAATTTCAAATTAAAGGAATCGAGCCCGGTTCGTTCCCTGTTAATCGATCGCTCACTCGCTACAATTTGGCTCAAATTAGGGTTTGTTCACTTCGATTCTCGACTATTTGTTTGATTTGTCTAATTTAAGCTATTTATTCTTCAATTTTGTTGCTGATGTTTGATAAATTTACCCTAAGTCAGTTGAAAGTGTGCTTACTGCGGAACGTCTTACTTTTTGGTAAATCTAGTTTAATCTTGTAATTTTTTGACTATAAATTATATATCGTATCTCGAGTGTTCTTTATATGGGTTTAATATGTATATAGGATACTTGTCATATTGTTTTTCAGTGTTTTAAAAAAACTCAGAGGATATAATATTGAAGGCTCTTTTATCGTGTTCTTTTGGTACTTTATATAACATACGTGGTAAAAATTCTGGTCAACTGAAATTTTTATTTCTTTTAGGATTTATTGATGCTTTTTCTATGGCAGCGGTTAGGGTGTGTTTGTAGAATGGTGCACCAGCAAGAATAATAAAATGATATTAATAACTGGATATTACTAATAATAAGATAAAAATGTGATTTTAAATATGCGGACAAGTATATTGAGTGCGGATCCTAATACTGACCAGTGTTGGTGCATACGATACAGATACGACTCAGATACGGCTCGGATATGATACTTGCCATATCATCATAGACACAAGCATGCCTCAGTTAGGAAAATTCATATCCATATCCGCTAAAATCAGATATAGATAAGGATATGCATGCGGATATACGCGCGAATACAAAATGGATGTGAGAAAACTAGATAATATTGAAAACAATATAGTTAATATGATACAAGAGGGTTCATTAATATGTTTGTTATATCTGAAAAGCTAAGATTGCATCTCTTGATCATCAAAATTAGTTTCAAATTCATTAATCTAAGTATTGAAACAGCTGCAGCTATATGATCAACCTACATTCGGATATTTCCGATACGGATCTAGATATTTCACTATATAACCATATCCGTAACCATATGCAGTTAGTTATAGATTTGAGTAACCATATCCGTATCCTAACAGATACAATCACAGATATATACATGAATACGGATATGGTTTTTCACCCATATATACTGGGTTTCGGGACCCTTAGGATACTTTAAATACTGAGCAAGATGGTTCGTTATATTTGACCAGAGAACATCTATGATGTTGTTGTCAAAGTTATCATTAGATGGCTATATAAGCAGCCATGTGTAGGCTGTCTAAAAATCACAATAGATAGCTGATTCCCCATCAAACACGGATCATTGAAGTTACAATCTGACGACTTCCAGAAGGCTACAATTTGAAGACTTTCACGTAGATCGATGAAGGTTACAATCTGACGACCTTCACAACAACTGATGAAAGCTCTAATCAACATCCTTCACAATCAACATCGAGAGTTACAATCTGACGACTCTCTCATATCAAAGAGCTAAAGCAAATATTACAAAACGACGATCTTTGCAACGCTCTGACAGAAAGAGACTACAAATCGACGGTCTCTTCAAACCAAGACGTGGAAGTCCTCCCTGCGTACCATCATCAAGACGCAACACCAATTCGACTGCGGACGCAGGTCAAACCTGGCTGCAGACGCACCTCACATTCAGCTTTAAACACTGCAAACGCAGCTCAGATCCAGCTGTCAACGCAGCTCATGTTCGGCCACAAACGCAGCCTTCGAAAGCTGCCAACGCAGCTTCCATCCGCTGTCAAACGTAACTTCCATCCGCTGCCAAACGCAGCTTCCATCCGCTGCCAAACGCAGCTTCCAAGCTGTCAAACGCAGCTTTCAAATTGCTGCAAACGCAGCTCACGAGCAGCTTCCAACACTGCCAACGCAGCTTCCAAATTGCTGCGTCTGAACTTCCAGACACTGCGTTTGAACGCAGAATTCATGCCAGAACACGGATTATGCGTTTGACTCGTTCAAACACGAGCTGAATAGTTTCAAAACCGTTTTCCACGATCTGAGGGGATCACAACTCCACTCAGGAGTGATTTAAGGGGCGGTTACATCCCATTAGCCCCACTTAGAAGCGAATTAAGGGGGCGGTTACACCCTTTAATCCCCTATAAATAACTAAAGCCCCACTTAGAAGCGAATTAAGGGGGCGGTTACACCCTTTAATCCCCTATAAATAACTAAGAAATCAGTTTAGTTCGGATTCTGGATTTTAGAGGCTGGATCTTTCATTCTTCTTTTTGGCAGCAAAGAAGAGATCCTTGGCTTGTCTAACCAATTACGGTTAAGAACAATCAACTCATCAAGAGTTCAAAAAACTTGCTTTGCAAGTTCTCCACAGCGTCAAATCGTGAGGAGGAGATACTGTTCCAGTGAATCAAGACGTTCGGATCGTCAACGGAGAGCAAACTCGACACGAGCATTCGAGGGAGGCATTCCATCGCCACCGTGAAAAACCCAGAATTAAACAAAGAGGAGAATCAAATTCATTCTCCTCTCTTTTGTAATCAGAAAATCCAATTGTAACTGAGATTAAAGGAATACAAATCGAAATTTTCCTTCGTTTTTTTTACTGTAAAATTTTTCACCAAACAAAAGATGGCGACTCCGCTGGGGACAAGCTTCTCTGACGAAGAAGTGGTGGCGCAATCCGATGTTCATCTCACTGGAACAACCGTCGAAACTCTTGTTGTTGAGTTTGATCAAGCCAAGTTTGAGGAGGTTCTCTCATCCGGATCCCTTAGCCCCAAGGCTATGCGCAACCTAGTGTATGCCGTGGAGCTTCGGGGCGCTGCCTCGAACCCCGTCGGGGGGTAGTCCACCCCCCCGGACCCCCCAGCCAGGGGCATGCCACCCCCTGGACCCCCGGCTCACTGACCGGGTAGCGAGACCCCTGAATACTCTGCGTAGCGTGATTAGATCGAGGGGCGGATATAAGAAGTCTTTGGATTCAAGGCATCTCAACCATATCCATGCTCACCAGGAGCCAGTCCCGTCCAATCATGGACTGGGGGTTCCAATTCAAACCTCACGACCAGTGAGTAGTTCTCCTCGAATCTTCACAACAGATTTGAGAAAGTTCATATCGAGAGAAAGACCGATGCAACAAGTCATTCGTTTATTCCAATGTGAACGACTGATTCTTACGGTCCTCTCGGGATGTCAATGCTGCTCATATGCGACCAAACTGTTGGTGTTCGACCAATTAACGAACGTTGCCTTGCCCAACCAACGACGACGTTCTCACAGGAAGAAGTCTCCACAGACCGAATATTCTGGGGTCACTATCAATATGACCAGCAGAGGGAAAGCCTCATGTCCTAGTTCCGATGACTCTGAGACAAGTCGCTCACCCACCGTTAGAGAAATCGCTAACGAGTTTGAAGGAGTCTACCAACGCACTCGGACGCGAACATGAGCCATTCTCCCTGTCAACTATCGGAGGCTAGCCAGAGGAACTCATTCCGATGATGAATACTCAGCTATTGCAGAGTCCCAATCATCAAGCTCTTTTGTTGAACATGAGAGCTCTGCTTATATGACGAGAAACCATGAAGATCTCGCGAAGAGACTTGATGAGCAGGAGGCCATGCTCAAATCTCAGCATGAGGCCATCAATGAACTCTTGGCCCTGATGAATCAAATCGTCGCAGACAAGGTCAAATCTCAGAAGACAGATTCGCCACCTAGGTAAGGATCCTCCCGGAGAGGAAAAACGTCTTCATCCCGACCTCACACAAGCAAAGGGAAGGAAAAAATGGTTGATGACACGGCTTCTGACCAAGAAGCCCACAACCTAGAATCTTCTTCTGATGAAGGAAGAGAGACGGAGAACGAGCAGAATCTCCAGTCTGTCAAAATAGAAGAATTGGAAGCCCGCCTCAATGTCATTGCCAACAGAAGCGAGCTCCAAGACGAGGGAGTTGTCAGACCCTATCCTGTCAAATGGGATGCAACCCCTTATCCTTCAAAATCGAAGTTCCGACGCTACAAACTTTTAAAGGTACGGGATCACCGAACCAACATATCTATCATTTCAAGTCACAGACTGGGAATGTGATATCAAACGATGACATATTGGCTCGATTGTTCATTAGCACCCTCAAGGGAGTTGCTTTTGAATGGTTCAGAAAATTACCTACGGGATGTATCCAAAAGTGGGCGGATCTAGAGAGACTCTTCCTGTCAAAATTCTTTAAAGAGGATACAGAAGTCTCCATCCATACCCTTCTCGTCACTAAGCAGAAGAAGAGGGAGTCCGTCAAAACCTTCGTCAAAAGGTTTCGAAACATGGCTCTGCGATGTCTGACAGGTATGACACAGTCTACCCTAGTAGAGACCTGTCGACACAATTTTCAAACCGACCTCCTAGCCCGAATATGAGTTGCAGAATGCCGTTCTTGGAGACAACTAATCTCTCAAGGCGAACAGGCTCAAAAGATTATTGTCAGGATCAAAGCTGAAGAACAAAGTAGGCAAGATCAACCTGAGCAATCGGACAAAGCCCAATCTTCTCAGTCAGAAGAAGAAGATACTACGGCCACTGAAGCTAATCCTCTTCAGTAGGATGGTAGGTCCACCAAAACTATCACGTTAAAAATTACCTCTGATAGTCAAACTCGTTAGATAGTGACCCACTAGGCGATATGCCATGTCTACTATTTTTCCCTCTGCACTTGTTCAAGACTGGGGGTTGGTTTATTTGTAGTTCATTGGATTATGAGTAATAAATTTTCTGAGTTTTCATGTTCAATAGAATACCTCTGTCAACCACAAAATCTGTCAAAACTATCAAGTTGGCGGGTCCACCAAAACTATCACGTTAATGATCACCTCTGATAGTTCATTTCTTCCAAATTCCCCCACCAATCCTCTTTAATAGGATGGCGGGTCCACCAAAACTATCACGTTAATAATTACCTCTGATAGTTTATTTTCTTCAAATTCCTCCACCAATCCTCTTCAATAGGATGACAGGTCCACCAAAACTATCACGTTAAAAATTACCTCTGATAGCAAAACTCTTTAGATAGTGGCCTGCCATGTGATGGGCCTCTATTCCGACTTGATGGATAGTGGACCACAA